CAGGGGTGGAATTCAATTTTTTTAACAACCGGTTCTGTGGGCGTGGCTTAGTTGGTTGGCATGGCTTGGTGGTCATGTGACTGGCTGGGCATGGCCAACTCTACATCACTCACATCGAGGCATGGCCTCTCATGACTGTGGGGATGCTGCAACAGTCATAAGTGTGAAAAATGGTCATAAGTCACTTTTTTTAGCGCCATTGTAACTTTGAATGGTCACTCCATACAAGCAAAGGAGGGGGAAAAAAAACCTCCAGAGACATTCCTGAGACAGGAAATCCAGTCCTGCCAAGAATGTAATAAGGGTTAACAGAGAGGAAGTTTCTGTAAGCAACACCAGAATGTTTCCTTCCTGCCTTCCTTACAGGATTAGGCCAGTAATTTCTTCTAACAACCAGTTTTCCAAACTGCTTAGAATGATAACAACTGGTTCTAGCGAATAGGTGCGAACCTGTAGAATCCCACCCCTGTGTATGTATATATGTATGTGTATATCTATATGTATATGTATATGATGTATATCTATCTATCTATCTATCTATCTATCTATCTATCTATCTATCTATCTATCTATCATCTATCTATTATCTATCTATCTATCTATCTATCTATCTATCTATCTATCTATCTATCTACAGTATCTATCTAGTTTGCATTTAAATGCATACATTATTTTAATATATCAGTTTACCACATTAGTGGCCAATTAATGCTGGTATATTTTACTTTAGGGAAAGAAGAACCTATGAGAAGTACCTCTTTAGGGAAAGAAGAACCAGTGAGACTTAAACCAGACCTGATTAACTTAGTATGACTAAATCTGAATCCAAAGTTCTAGAAATACGTTAATGTTAAATCATCTTTGAGGTTATCTTGTTATTGCAGTAAGCCTACTAGTCATTTTTCCTGGGAAACTCTTTTGGCTGATTCTGCTCCTGTTAAAACTGCTGCTGGCATGCACTTTGACCACTTGCTCAAGATTTAGTGGTGTTGCTTCAAGCAGGTGTAAGCTAATGACCTTGGCCTGCAACTGTATGTATTGAAATAAAAATAAATAAATCTATTGAAGCGGAACAAATGTTATTGAACTGAGTTATTGACACAGATATCAAGGAGAATTCCATTAGAAGACAGAAAATAACCGAGGCAGCAGAAAAGATAAGAGCATTTATCCGGCACTCTCCAACCCCCAGAGATGTTCAAGTGTAGTAGTTGATTCTTATTTAAAATTTTCATTGAAAATAAACATGACATGTGGTTTATCGTACGGTCAAATATTCAGACAATCAAATATAGTAGCTTATATTATGGAGTCTCTAAGCGAGTTTTTAGGAAAACAGTTGGTAATTTGGTGACATCTATGCAAAGAATTAAGACCAAACTCACTGTTAAATATGTAAAATCTCATAAACTGTTTATCTGTAGCACAGCAGCACACGCTTAATTACATGATTCCATAGAGACATATTTTCTAATCCTATCTACTTTTACAAAATATTATTTTAAGAATCCTTTATTTAACCCAATGCTCCTACAACAGAAATTTCCAGGTCCCTTTGAATTTATGTAAAATTTGAATGGCAGCTCTCATTTCTACAATTTTCAGTTAGAGTCATGGTTATAGATTTGCATTAAAAGTAGTTTACAGGAAGATGTGTGAGAGACAACACTAAACAATGTTGAACAGCCCACACTGCAATCCTACTGCAAAATCCATTTCCTCCCACCCCACTAACCTGCTTTCCAGCTCCGTTCTCCTGTGCAGGGCAACAAAAGAAGACCCAGCCAATCAGCTGGGACTTGGGAGGCAGAGAATAGATGGGGGCAGGGCCAGCCAGAGGAGGTATTTGCCAGTTCTCCGACCTACTCAAAATCTCTGCTACCGGTTCTCCAGAACTGGTCAGAACCTGCTGAATACCACCTCTGGTTATAAATCATAAATGAAGACGAATATATGTGACCCAGGATAATGTTGCAGGATCCAGTCCGGGTTGGTTACTGGGACCAAAGGTTTTGTCTTCCAAGTTTTCAGACTCATGTTGGAGCCCATCTTCAGCGAACTTCTCTCTAGCAATTGGGTCCTGCAGTTATAAATCAATTTCTAAAATATTTTGTATCAACGTCTATTGCAAAATTAGTTCGAAAACTTTTTAAATGCATTAGCCAAGTTACAACTACAAGGGATCGGTTTTACTTTGGAATACCACAATCCAAACAGCCATTTCTGTAAATTGGCAAAGTTCATAATATTTTCAAGCAACATTCTTGGTAATATGATGGGAAGAATGTTGAATTTAACTCATTCTAATTAGCGGATTAATTCATTTTTATAAATTATTGTTCTAAATTAACAAGTATGGGAAAAACATTTAAATATAATTGAAGCAGGCATTAGCTGATATTTCTTGTACTAAGGAGCAAATTAGAAGAAAATTTAATATCTATGGTTGCATTAATTATAATTATTCTGTTACACTGAGATTCAAATAGAATTCAAATTACACAACAACTTTTATTATTAAACACTTTCATTTCAACCAAGTTTAATGGGTCTTTTGTTTGGTTTTTCGGTTAGCAGAGTAGCTATTTCATTTCTATGAAACCTTTCTTTTGAAACACTTACAGAAACAGCATAACTGTAGAGAAATAAATTAAAAATAGTTAATGGTAAATAATAACTAATGTGCTTTCTCTCTGATTTTGAATCCTTCTCATTTAGAAAGGTTCTCTAAAAACAACACAGAACTGTATTGTTTTATACTCTGTTAGTTATTTAACACTATAAATCTGTGTGAGCCACTTCTTACAATCTTCTATTTTAAGAATAACACAAGTTCAATGGGAGAAGATCCTTAACTCAGTTAGGTGGCTTATCCCTTTTTTGGTAAGTTGTTGAAGGTTCTATTCAGGATGCTTTAACTTGGATTCCTGCATTTAAAAGAAGTTGGACTTGGTGTACTTTTCATTCTGCACCATATCGGTAAGAAATGCTATGGAAGATAGAAAATGCAAAACCTGACAGAAAATACACGAAGAGTAATCGTTAGATCTAAGCCTTGCAATATGTGGATCCATCTAGCAGTAGGAGAAAATCCAACTCAAACACACACAACATGTAGGAACCGAGAGCTTTAATGAAGTGTGAATGCTCTCATCTGAATTTTAAAATAATTAATTTGTTCCCCTGGGCTTACTGTATGATAAGCTGCCAAAATAATAGGGAAGTAAAACCTGAAACGGCTGCTTAGGAACTGTGAGAATTACACCGATACACTCTGTCTTAATAACTGGATTCAAGGATCTGTACATTTGCCAAGACCAAGGCTTTTGTTTTAACTACAATGGAAAGAAATGAGTTGAATGAATGTGTTTGCTGATAAATAACGGGTTATTTATAAAGAGGGCTTCCCCCACCCTCAATTATTTATTTATTTGCTATAAATCATACGGGTCCTTCTGTGCTCTCACTAATTTCATTATTGATGTTTCTCAGCAGGTGCTACAACCATTGAGAAGTACGATCTTAGGACCAATATATGGATCCAGGCTGGAGTAATGAATGGAAGAAGGCTACAGTTTGGTGTGGCTGTTATTGATGACAAGCTCTTTGTTATTGGAGGGCGAGATGGCTTAAAGACATTAAACACGGTCGAATGTTATAATCCGAAGACAAAAGCTTGGACGGTTTTGCCTCCAATGTCTACTCACAGACATGGCTTAGGTAAGAGTTCCCTTTATGAAAGATATCAGTGTGAAATGTGATTTTAAAAAATGATCACAAGATAAAGCGAGTGATTTTGTGTCAATAGGCACAAGTCAGCTAGATGCAAGCCAATACCAAAAAATGAAAATAATTCTCTATTGTTAAACTGGTCCATCAACAAAAAGACATTGAAACTTGGAGTAGGTTCCATATCTAATGTAACTTAGAGCAAATATTTGTTAGAGTAAATTGAGTAAACTTATCATTACTTCATTCACAGTGGTAGGAAATATCAACAGGGCACAAAGAGAGATTGAAAATCAGTACTTTATTACAATTTTAGAATAGCACTAGCAGTAGCACTTAGACTTAAATACTGCTCCACAGTGGCATTTACAGCCCTCTCTAAGCAGTTTACAGAATCAGCATCTTGCCCTCAACAATCTGGGTTTTCATTTTACCCACCTCGGAAGGATGGAAGGCTGAGTCAACCTTGAGCCTGGTGAGATTTGAACTGCCAAATTGCAGGCAGCCAGCAGCAGAGGTAGCCTGCAGTACAGCATTCTGACCACTGCACCACCATATAACATATCACATGATTTGTAAATAAACTCCAGAATACACTTCTTTCATTTTCAACTAGCGATAAACACATCACATTTTTCCCCCAAGAAACATACTTGTAGTTATAATTTATTGACTGAACACACTCATATAGAGACATCATCATTTCAGTCTTCAGTTTTTTCATAACAGAAAATGTTTGAAATAAATTCCTACTTTGTTTTCTAAAGATTAGTAGTGCTTAGGACAGACTTATGACCTTATAGATAAACCCTGATCTGTTCTTCAGGGATCTAGGACAGTGGTGGCTAACCTTTTTGGATTCCTCTGCCGATAATTGTGCACATGCTCATATGCCAGCACCCACAAAGCAATGCATGCGTGTGTGACCCCTCAGCACATGCTGCGTGTCTCTGCCCATGTGTGCGCATCTGTCACTCATCCCGGCCCCCCGTGCATGCGCGCCAGATACCAATAATCAGCTGGTGGGCGGGCAGCATGTGCACATGTGCAATAGACCTGCTCTGGGAGAGGGGTCTCATGCCAGCAGTAATGGCTCTGCATGCCACTTCCGAAACGCGTGCCATACGTTCGCCATCACAGGTCTAGGACAATTTACCGCGGTCAACTCATCACAGCCAACACATCATGGCCAACTTTCCACAGGACAACTTACCAGTCAACTTCCCATGGGACAACTTGCTACTGGACAATTCAATGCTGTATTAATTGTTTCATTCAGTTATTTTTATTATTGGTGACACATTTTTGGTCAAACTTATCATGACTTGTAATTCTGGATTGACTTTCTTTATTTTATTATCATTGTCCATGCTTCTGTTAAAATTAATTTAGCTTTTCTATTTGTTCAGTTGTCTTGGTGAGAGTTATTCCATGGTTAGTTGGCCACTGTGAGTTATCCTGAGGCAAGTTGGCTGTAGTGAGTTGGCTGTGGCAAGTTGGCCATAGCAAGTTGGCCATAGCAAGTTGTTTTATTCCGGTTCTTTGGATGGGCCTTTAGGTGTTTCAAGGAATATTTGGAAGGTAGCCATTCTACATTTTTCTAACTTGGGAGCTAAGTAATTAACACTGATTTTAAAGCATAAAACAACAGCCAAAATCCTCTATTTTTAATGAAATTGTAAGTCAAAAGAGAAAGATATTGAAGAATCATCTTTGTTTTTCATCAAAATTTGATCAGTATTTTGTCATAACTCCTAACTGCCAAAAATAATTTAGTTGCTGTCTTTATAACTCAAAGTAAGCTTTAAAAGCCATTAAAACTTTGTCTTCCTGTTCCAGTTTTTCATGCCTTCTGTATTATAATGTATTTGTATCTTTTCCTTAAAAGTAGCTGACATTAGAAATAAAAAGATGGTGTTCAGCAGGATTGTTCTTCCTAACTTTTCTAGATTACTTTCTTAAATGAGAATAGATTTTTGTTTCAGTAGAGCACAATAGTTGCTTCTCTATGGATGACACTTTACTTTTGTCACGTAATAGATGTCACAACTGATGAGCCAAGAGAAATGTAGGGAGCTTGATGTATCCCTAATAAGAAGAATTTCAAAGAAACATCAACAGATGGTTACTTTTCTATTTACATAGATGCTATAGAGATCTTTTAAACAGAGAGATTGCCTGGTTGGAAAGACAGAGCAAATGTTTAAAATTTGAAGTGCTCTGCCCTGAACTTGGAACATGCTGTTTCAGTGATGTTGGAATCACTCTCTGTTTGAAACATAATGTTTCAGATGCCAAGGAAAGATTTTTCAAGTTCAGAACTTTTCAGGTGTAAACAAGACAGCTCAGTTTGAATCATGGCAGCCGTTTTCTAGTGGTTCAGATTTGAAATGCTTTGCTAGATGATAGTGACAGATCTGAAGACCATACATACAACTCTAATCAATTCATCATGCAATATTTTTTTAATAAATACAATTTTAAAAGGCCTAGCATTGGCATAGTATTAATACAATTTTAAAAAGCACCGGATTAATAGTTTTCCACCGTTTTCTCAGCAGTCATATGAATTTAAGCTACGTTTAGGTAAAAAGTTAGAACTGATTGAAATCTTCCAGAATAACCGTGGAACAAAATCCTTTGTCTTTCTCATCAATTTCTTTCCCTTGTAAGTCTACTTCAATGAAAACAGTAATGGATAACCTTTGCATTGTGGCAGATGCATTTTCATTGCATTTTAAATCAAGGTGTGATTAACAACATTACCTGCATTCTTATTTCTTTTCTTTATATTATTTTGTTTATTGTCTAGAGCAGTTTAATAAGGGGTCTGTCAAAGTTGGCAGTGGATTAAATTACAGGGCACAGGTACAAGGTCTAATCTTTCCTATTTTCATCAGCAATTTCTTTTAAAGTTCAGCAATGTTCAGCAACAGAAGCATGAGCATAATCCTTATTCATTATGCTGACTCAACTATTATAGATTGTGAACGTTAATTAAGAAAAATAAAAGATCCTCTTTGAAACGCATATCTTAATTATTTCATAAACTAAACTAGTTTAATTTACTTTATTGTCACTGCACCTCGTACAATGAAATTAAATACCATCTTCAGTGTACACTATGACCATGAAAATAACACACACACATCCTTCACATTCTATACATTGAATGAAAATCCCTAATATTGCATTAATGTTGCACTAATATTATACTAATATTGCATTAATATTGCACTAAAACAACCTAATGCAATTTTAAAATGCGATATAATTTTATCAGTTCATTAAACAACCTAGTTTGTATGTTGGATCTGACATAAGGAAGTGTTATTGCTTGGGCACAGAATTTAGTTCTTGTATTGGTGATTTCAGGTTGCTTATATTTTAGGAAAAATTCTAAATACCATTGGTATGAAAAGCTGGGTAGTCTGTCCATTAAAGGTTGCATTCCTTGTAAAATCTCCACTTCAAGGAGACATATTCTAAGTTTTTTTTATTTTCACTAGGGAGACATTCATTCTATTATGAATGATGGGTCAAAAGTTGTCTGATGGTATTTATCACCCATCATTGCAGAGAGAAAGATGCTACATAAGTGTTGTGCTGCATAAGTGTTGTATTTTAAGTGAGGATTCAATCCAACTTCACTTGTGTGAATTTGCGCTCCACTTAACCTAACAGAACCTAGTTTTGATCTGATACACAGAACTGTAGTGTTTTCAGAGATATTTACTACTAGTAGTAGTTGATATTTCATTTTGAATTAGGGATTTGTACCTTGCATAAATGAATGAATGAATGAATGAATGAATGAATGAATGAATGAATGTGTGCATGCATGAATGCCTACATTGCTAGTGGCATTAATAGGGCAGGATCCTAATCTGGCCATTTTACTATAATTTTTTCTTCGTTGCAGTCACACAAACCAAAAACAATGTTATTATTAATCCTGTATTTTCACACATTTTCACACATTTCTGCAACTTGCATAAACTGTTAAGTGTCTGATAGATTTTCTTGTTAATGTCAATCCCTCTGCTTACATTGATCAAAACATGCCTTTCCATAACGGAGGCTTTAAAATTTTAATTACAATGATGAAAGCAAAAATCTAGCCTTTTATTTTTATATGGCGAAAGAATAAAGTTTGTGAGTTTGTTTGAAGCACTGCTAAAAGTTCCTATTTTAGAATTCCAAATTTGCCTTCACCAGAATTTTGGCTGTTCATATATAGCCTGATATATGCAAGCATGATTTGTTCTTCTAAGAGTTAGAACTTGATTTGGTCAAATCATTTAAATTTATGTCATGTTAAATGTAATGCTAGAATAAAAGGAATTATTATTTTTTGCTACATAAATTGAATCATAAAGAAGCAAACATCAACTCTCTAATGACAATGCAGATATAGCCACAATGGTAGATAGCATAATTATAAAACATCTGAATTAGAAATTTTAATTATTCCAGAATACAGCATTCTTATTGTCCAGATGAGATGTGTTCCAAATTGTTTCTGGTTCTGGATTCTGGATATCCAGGATATCTAAAGCAATGTCTTCTTACACATGAAGCTCTATGCTTATATCACAACATCTTGAGATATAAGCCCCCATAAAAGCCTTTTTGATGGCAGAACCTATCTTGTTTCTGCCTTGCTTGTTTCACTCATAGCCTTCCATAAGCTGTTGAAGACATTTCTATTTATGAAGGTAGTAATTAAATAACCAATAAAGTAGTAATTAAATAACCAATAAAGGAGAATATCTGTAGCTCTTTCAGTTTCATTGTTTTCAGGACATTTCATCAACCAGTGATTCCACTGGTTAATTGTCCTCACTGTTGTGAAGTTTCTCCTTAATTTCATGTTGCTTCTGTCCTTGATTAGTTTCCATCCATTGTTTCTTGTCCTACTCTCTGGTGCTTTGGAAAATAAATGGACGTCCTCCTCTTTGTGGTAGCCTTTCAAATACTGGAATACCACTATCATGCCCCCACCCCACAGTCCTTCTTTTCTCTAGACTAGTCAAACCCAAATCCTGCAACCATTATTGATATGTTTTAGTCTCCAGGCCTTTAATCATTTTAGTTGTTCTTAGATTAAGTACTGTCTGCATGAAAACAAGCTCAGAGAGCACCAAGCACCCCTCAATTAAATAACTTTAAATGACTCTATTTAATTTGACTTTGGTTTCTGAATAAACTAAATAGTTTAATTTACAGTTAACAGTTAAATAGTAATAGTTAAATAGAGTGTCATTGCAGTATTTTCAGAAGTGGTTTTGGCTTCTTTTGACTAAACATATATAACACCTTCTCTCTCTTTTAGCTCTAACCATGTGAAATCTTTATATCAAAGAGACAATAACGTCCAAAATGTGGCATTAAAAAGATATCCTTTGAGACAATATCTCTCCATCCAAAAGCAGAGATTTGCAGAAGGAGACTTCTCTTGTTGGACTGCTGCAACACTTTGTCAGAGATTATAGACACACATCCTAAGTACCCCTTCAATTTCTGGATTTTATATCGGACATAAAAACAGAGCAGTAAAGCTAAATGTCCAATTGATCAGCTCCAAGGAAGTGTAAAAAAATTGGTTAGGATATTTGAAAGAGTTTATGATTTTTATGTACACCTTTTACTACTTTCTAAGTAACGGTGGTACTTTTTCAATTTATTTTCAGTGCCCTGAGGGTGCCATATTTATTTTTAAAAATACTGCTTTTTCCCAATTCTCAGATACATTCAGGTACCATTAATGAACTTTTCCTGAATGTGTGTGTGTGTGTGTCTTTGTGTGTATGAAAGAGAGAGGGGGGAGAGGGAGGAAGAAGAGGAGGAGGAGGAGAAGAAGGAGGAGGGAGGGAGGGAGGGAGGGAGGGAGAGAGAGAGGGAAGAAAATATCAATAATATAGTTCTAATGTATTTCTATTGACAATCAAAACACATTTACATTTTTACCTGAGATTCATTTCTTTTAACTTAAACAGGATGCTAAAAATCAAACATTCCTTTATACATGCTAGTAATACAAATGCAACCCTTTAAAAATGGATTCAAAAGAACTGATGGAAAGTAAGATTTTGGAGATTCTCCTATAATGAGACTCCTCAGCTAAAGAAATCAACACAATTCCCCTGTTTATTATTTCCTTTCAACAAAAGGCCTTTGTGGTGTCTTATATTATATTCTTCTCACATCCAGACTGTAAAAAGCATCAAATAGATTCACACTGTCTGTTTATTGGGTCTAGTATTGGATATATGTGCATACATTCGCAGAATTAGGTTGAAAACAAACAATAACTTTTCTTCCTGGACACAAGAAGAAACTTTAGTTAACTCTGACACCATCTTATCATGGAAGCTGCCTAAGTGCTGTGCAGGTAGTTCTCAATTTATGACCATTTGTTTAACAACAGTTAC